TACTATGTGAGAAATGCAGATGAGGTAGGCAATTATAAAGATAATACTATGTGAGAAATGCAGATGAGGTAGGCAATTATAAAGGTTATATTACTATGTGAGAAATGCAGATGAGGTAGGCAATTATAAAGGTTACAAGGATCTCGCCATGCTGGTCGATGGTAGTCGGCCCCGACCGGCACTCAAAATTAGCGACCACCACGGAACCGCTTCCGACCAGGACTATTGTCCGATTGTTATTATAATTATGTACCGACCAACACGCATCCTGCCAGTCGTGGATTATAATTTGTAAACAATAGACCTAGTCGCACGATACGTAGCGGCTAGTCAATTTTGTGAAATTAGCACCTCTTTGTAAGTAAATACTTTCTGCGATAGTGTCCCCGACTGTGTCAGTCTTTAGATTGAAAGGTAAAATTCTTTCAAAATCAATTTCACCCCGATATAACATGGTCAAAGCGGAGTTCACGATCTGACAGTTTACGCTACTCAAGAAAAAAAATCAACGTGTTTATTGCGTGATTTATTAAAATACATTTGAACTGTTATCATCGCGATTCATGTAAAAACTCTTTCAAGACCTATTTTACCTTTTAAAAATTGCTGATCACCTCTTTCGATCACCATCGTGCAGTTTTCAACTGAAATCGATGTCAGCACGTCGTGCGACATCGCTTTACTTCCACAATGTAATTTTTACGATCACTACCATTCGGAAAACTTCGGATTCTACGGGCATCACCATGCGGCATTCTGATTGGTTAATGGTATTATTGACCCATCGGGTCAAAGGACACGTGCCGATCAACTAACAAGTCACAAACATCATGGCGGGCTGTGTTTTTTACCGAAGCGATCGATCAAAAATATCCACTCCCGATAAAATTAAGTCAAATTTTACATTTATTTCTTATCAAAAAAATGAAGTAACATTTTTTGATTGGCATCATGAGTAAGAGGAATTATTGGTATAATCGATGTATAACATCGCGAAGTAAGTTGTGTCACGTCGTAACGTTGAAAGTTCGGAAGTTTTATTTGTTCGTTCATTACTGTGAATATATAAGTTTTAGAAATTGATGATACGAATAATAAATTAAAACAATACTCCAAATAATTACGTGGTCGATTTTTTGAAGGAGAATGTATTTGGAGTAAATAAGATCGTGAAAATATTCCTTGCTAAAACGTTTCAAATGCATTTTATTTAACTTTTTACAATATACATTAATATTGCAACAATAATTTATTTGTTTCTGTTTTTTAGTCTGCAGCATTTGCATTTCGAATATATTTAATTTTTAAATTCAAACTCTTCTAAATTGTGAAACATAATAAAAATATTTGCTGCGACCAAACTCATTAATATTCATTGCTAATTAATATTCATTTAGCTCATTAATATTCATGACCGACCGGCACTCGCGTTGGGCTGGCGAGATCCCTGCACACTATTACTCAGAACTTGAATGACATTGGAGCCATGTTGTTAAATGATTAAAAGTTCATTGCTACGATATATGGATGCCATCATAAGTGTCCTGATGTCTTTGATTGGATATCTAGGATACTTGAGCCAGTGTCAGTAAAAAGCTCACCAGGTTTCTGAAAGTCTTGGTTCGTAATTTTGAATTTCTGAATCTAACAAGAACTTGTATCATATTTCTTTTGGAGGAAACAAGAGTACCGTTAACGGTTCCATTGAGGGGAGTCTAGTTTTTTTAATATCCTTCTTGGGTGTAACTTTGATGTCACTGAGTTATTTTGTGACAGATTTGTTTACTCTCCACAAAGCTCCACAAGAACAACAGTGTCATTGTGTTACATGTGTGTAAAAAAAATTAGTCTTATTTATTGAGTTGAGCAAAAAAATCAATTTGCATACAAGAAAAAAATTAATTTCCTTTTGCATTGCATGAGCAACTTACAGGTATATTCACAGGGAGTTGGACAAAGTTATGTATTTTAATAAATTATTAAAAAATAAAATGTTATGCAAATTTTAACACGCGATGTAGGCACACCCTATTGTAGTAAAATATCCCAAGGGTTGAAACGCGCCAGGACTGTGGCATGAGCACAACCGTAAAGCCGGTGGGCATTTAATTTATTCATGAGATGCATTAATAAACAAGAAATGCTGCGCAGAAATTTAAATCCGGCGAGTGTAATCTCTGACGCGACGCAACTTCAATGAATCAGTGACTCTTCTGTAAAATGGTTTCTACTTCAAATGTCGTTCGCGTTGCTCTTCGAGATCTTTCTAATAAAAATAATCAAAATAGCAGCAGCACAATTCATGGGAAAATTGTTTACTTCTGATCATGTGACACAACAATATATGAGTCATTTTTTGCGAGAGAGGCCAAAGTTCGCAACATCCGGTTTCCGGCTTTACGATTGTGTTCCTGCCATGTCGCTCGATCGCAATGAGTTTTAATTTGACAAATATTAAAGTGCAAATGATACTTATGCCAGTCATGGCGCGTTTCACCCCTTGGGATATTTTACTATAATAGGGTGTGTCTACATCGCGCGTTAAAATTTGCATATAACATTAGCGCGTAACAAAGAAGGAAAGAGTGGTATAAACAAAGATCAGTGATTACTTGAAATCGATACCAGGAAGGGGGGGGGGTGTAAAAGAAAAGTTATATAACATTTTATGATTTAATAATTTATTAAAATACACAAGTTTATCCAAGTCCCTGTGGCATACTGCTGGATTTGTCTACTTTAATTTACCTCTCACTGTAACTACGATAAATCACCATTCCTTCTATCATGGAAGGGACTCGTGTAGTAAACATGTTATGCTTCTTCAACCATAGACAGATAGTTAAGAAAATAAGAAAATTTGCTCTATTAGATGGGCATCTCTAATTGAAGCGTTAATAAAAACCAAAAAAAAGTGAATTCACTGATCTTTAAAATATGACATACTTTGAACATAGACACACCTGTTTCATTTTAATTATATTGTATGCACACATACTGCAATTTGTAATAGAGCAAATATCCCATGCCAATGTTATCAAGAAGACAAATGCGCATAACAGAAATGAAACTTATATATTATTATAATGCACACAATAGAAACACATGTTTGTATGCAATTTATCCACAAGAAGACTCCACGCCATCATTATATCACTGGTGACTGCCATGTACACACCGTTACTATGTCTGGTATCTTTTACAGCTACACGTACTTGCACGGCCATGCCATCACTATCACTGATGATTCCTTCGTGGCTTACTGGTGACATTGACTGCATATCAAGAACATTTCTTACTTATTCTTATCTTTTTAACCATTTTCTGTTCATTTTCAAATATGCTAATCTACCAACCTTGCTCATTTCAACATTAACATTAAAGCTGTATCGAGGAACCTACCTAGAGGTAACCAAGTCACTCTCTAACCATTCTCTGCAGACTCTACCAGTTGAAGCAATTTGGTTTTAATCAAAATGACGTTATTGCATCAACTGTGGGAGTTTCCTGTTCAAACATGTGGTCTAATCACACTGTTGGTTGTGTTATTGCTATAGTTGATATGATACCTTCCTTATTTTGGAATTTTTGACAATATCAACTGGAATTAATTACTAATTAGTTAACATTAATTAATTATTAAATTTAATTGAAGTGACATGTCCAGTAGCCAAAGCACAACCAGCTTGAAGTGACCAATCAGATTTGTTGTACCTTTCTCATTACATCACATCATGTGATCTCATTGTCAGCCAATCACAACCTCTCTATCATGTACAGTTTTTGTTCATATTACTAAATACATATTTCTCTTCAGAATGCATGGTCTTTCATTCTAATCATTCACTTTTTTTGTCTTTTTTTTCTCAATGTAGCTTTGGTGTTGACAAACTGCAGTTCATTATTATACTTTAATACACATGATGCAATTCCACATCTTTCTGAGGGGGTCAATTACTTGATTTTGATGATGTCATATTGTAGATAATTTATACCCTTCCCCCTCAGTGAAATAAAATGGTCTTTCCCTGAACTAAGGATTAAACTTCATTTGGCTGTTTTATGCTCCTTTTCCATCTACATTGCATTATAAACTCTTTAACAATTAATATTTTGCTTTAATTTCTAATTTTCTATAATGAAAAAATTATTGTTCCCATTTGGTTCAGTTGATCATCATTCATTTTGTCATAAGTAGGTATTTTGCTTATTACTTGTAAAATTATTGTGTGGCTATGAGTTTTTTCGGTCTTCACAAGGGAAATAATCTACCACACCAAGGTGCTTTCACCAAGTATGGGAATGATCTGTCGTCAGATTGACAGTTTCTCATTTGTGTTTGGTTTCTGGTGTGCACACTCCAGCCATGTAGACAACACTGGTGACTAATGTAATAATAATAGACTTCCTCTAAAATTCTTACCTATATCGTGTGGTCTTTTATATATCCCTTGGTTCCCAAGTGTTTGCATGTCTTATTTTAAAAGAAACTTTAAAGATTCAGTTACGTTTGATTTCACAGTGCCAAACTAATAAAGCTGTGTATCATTTTTGATTTTTTCACATTGCCTGTTTGTGCAATATTTTCAGAATGAAATGTTAGAAGAGGGCAGTGAGTATGCCGTCATGCTGTATACATGGAGAAGCTGTGCTAGAGCCATTCCTGCAGTGAGTATACTGATTCATGTCTGTGAAGACCACAGAAATATCAGCGGTTTTGGAAATTTCTGCGTCTTCTAACTAAACTTAACTTGCTATGTCTTTGATTCAGAATGTTAAATACCGATAGTGCATTTTTCGCGCAATGCAAATCCTGCCCAATATTTTACATAATTCGTAAATTTATCAGATTTCAAAAGTGGCAAAAAAGTAGTTTTCAAGAAGTTCTTTAATATATGTACAGGGATTGCGTTAACCCCATATTTTACTTCCCTGACTCCAATTATTTAAGAGGGACCTGGTTTTTCAGGCAAGCTGGGGTACAATCTCTAATAAGGTTATCCAGTATAAAATTTCTATTTCTTAAAATTGTGTAAGTGGGACTCGTCTTGCCGAGACACTAGCGCAAACCCTGACATAACTGTACTAAAACTCTAATCTAATCCATCTCTAATCCCAGATTAAATCTAATGAGCAACCCAACAGAGTTGAGATTTACGAGAAGACTGTGGGAGTATTGGAACCCGAAGTGTCAAAGTTGATGAATTTTATGTACTTTCAAGTAAGAATCTATCATTATATTCTAAAACATGTATTTTTCGCGAGCATGTCTTTTTAGCTAAATTAGCGAGAGAACTGATTCGCTAATTCAAGATGTCGCTAATGACTAATGGCTAATTCAATATGGCCAAGGCTTGGGGATTTGTATCTAGTAATCCGGAACATAAAATTCTGGGGCGCTTCCTAATTAATTACAGTATTTCTTTGTTTTTATGGAGGTGATTACTGCCCATTTGTTTTGGTACGTGACAGAAAAGTATTGTGAAAACAGAAAATCAACAATGACAAGAGAGCTTCGCTAAATCAACATTTCGCTATTATGCCATTTTACCACAATTCGCTAAAATTGCATGTCGCTTTTTCAACATGTTTTACAGTATTGTATTACTTCTTCAGAAATGTTATTAAGGTTAATATTAGCCTTCTCAGAAATGGAAATAAAAAAAAAAATATTGTTGTGTTGTCATGTAAAAAAGGATGGTCCTGGTTATATATATGAGTGGGGTGCCATCCCCGGGCACATTTTTGTTAATTTCTAGTTTCTTTTTTGTTCGTTTGTTAGAGGAAAGTGGTTGAAAGGTTTTGCTCTGAAGTCAAGCGTTTATGTCATCACGGTAAGAGGAATGACTTTGTATCAGAAGCCTATCTATTGACATTAGGCAAATTTCTCAATATGTTCGCTGTATTAGATGCACTGAAGAACATGAAATCCAGTATCAAGAACGACTATGCTCAGTATAGAAGGTGGGTACAGGATGTATGAATCATCTTCGGTATATACTGTACAGGGATCTCGCCAGCCCAACGTAAGTGCCGGTCGGTCATGAATATTAATGAACTATATGAATATTAATTAGCAATGAATATTAATGAGTTCGGTCGCAGTGCAAATATTTTTGGAATTAAGACATTATGTTTCACAGTTTAGAAGAGTTTGAATTTAAAAATTAAATATATTCGAAAGTCGAATGCTGCAGACTAAAAACAGAAATAAATTATTGTTGCAATATTAATGTCTATTGTAAAAAGTTAAATAAAACGCATTTGCAACGTTTCAGCCAGGAATATGTTCACGATCTTATTTACTCCAAATACATTCTCTTTCTAAAAATCGACCACGTAATTATTTGGAGTATAGTTGTAATTTATAATTCGTACCATCAACTTCTAAAACGTATATATTCACAGTAATGAACGAACAAATAAAACTTTCAAAGCTACGACGTTACATAACTTACTTCACGATGTTATACACCGATTATACCAATAATTCCTCTTACTCAGTCATGATGCCAAGCAAAAAAATGTTACTTCGTTTTTTTGATATGAAATAAGGAGTGGATATTTTTTGATCACTCGATCGCTTCGGTAAAAAACACAGCTCGCGAAGATGTTTGTGACGTATTAGTTGTCCGGCATGTGTCCTTTGACCCGATGGGTCAATAATTCCATTAACCAATCAGAATGCCGCATGGTAATGCCGGTGGAATCCGAAGTTTTCCGAATGGTAGTGATCATAAAAATTACATTGCGGAAGTGAAGTGATGTCGTAGCACGATGTGTTGACATCGATTTCAGTTGAAAACTGCATGATGGTTTTCGAAAGAAGTGATTAGCAATCTTTAAAAGGTAAAATAGGTCTTGAAAGAAGAATTTTTACATGAATCGCTTTGACCATGTTATATCGAGATGAAATTGATTTTGAAAATTTTTTAGCTTTCAATCTAAAGACTATGTCTATCGCAGAAAGTATTTACTTACAAACAAAGAGGTGCTAATTTCACAAAATTGACTAGCCGCTATGGATCATGCGACGAGATCTATTGTTTACAAATTATAATCCATGACTGGCAGGATTCGTGTCGGTCGGTACATAGTCATAATAACAATCGGACAATAGTCCTGGTCGGAACCATTTCCGTGGTGGTCGGGGCCGACCAGCGTGGCGAGATTCCTGACTGTATTTGTTATATTAAAAGCGCATACGCTTACGTAAATGTCAGATCATGTCTATTGTTCAAATATGTCATTGTTTTTGATGGATAGATCATACAATAAATACAATTTTTGGTATATATGTGTTTTTGATAGAGTAAATACAGTAAATGTTCGTAATACTAGATAAGCCCTCTATGTTAATATCAAAAATAGAGAGAAAAAGGTGTATTAGAGGGAAATGTGTTTTTCATGTGGTTGCATTAATGTGTTATGTGACTGTCTTCAAAACTTTGATATTGTCAATTGGCAGATATTCAATTACACTTTCTGAGAATCATTTGAGACTTATTCAAATAACAATGAGCTTGTTGTAAGCATCAACCTGAGCTCAAAGCTGTTGAATGACATTCTAAGGTTTTATACCAATATCATTAAGTAGGGACAGGCCCGTAGTTTGGGGGGGGGGTCCGGGGGTTCGGTCGAACCCCTTAAATTTTGGAAGTGAATAGATTTATGATCGTAGATTAGAACATAATAAAACAAACAGTATTAATGAAAATAATTATCGTTGTTTAAATCACTTGACTCCGTGATGTAACTATCAGAGTAATGTAATGAGTAATGCATAGTAATGAGCATTTAGGTGGCAACGAGCTTAAATTG